TGAAATTGTGTTGATCATCCCAAATCATCGATATGTTATCAATTTCTCATACTTATTAAACATCGATATATTATCCACAATCGTGGTTAAAAGGCAGTTTGTAATATATTATTTGAACCAATTTTTGCGAAGTTATTGTTCCAACTTTTGTAATGAAAATAAAGTAATATTTGTGCTCGGGTGGGTTTCTTTCTTTAAACAAATTTCGATTTTTTAACTAGCCATTTTTGACGGAATTTTTTTTATATCATTCAAAAGTTTTTGTTGTGCTGAGGTTACATTTGAAAAAATATTTTATCTGGGATCATTCTTTGTAAAGTTAAGGGGGTTTAAAGATCGCCGTTTTGGCCAATTCAGGACAATTGACGCGCAATACATTTTGCGCTGTTAACGCGTAAGCAGAGATTTAATCCGTCGTAGAAGTCGTTCCAAATTGGTTGAAGCAGGCTGTTCGCCGTAATTGATTTTTCTAATAGGAGCGAAATCTATCACATTTTGTATATTATATGGCGTGTGGGGGAGTGTTTCATAAAAAAATCTCAAACTAAAAAAGTTCATTTTTCTATTACAATTAATTTTTTCATGTTATTACTGCTCCACAGACCTCAAAAGTCAGTCTTGTTATGATGATCCTGAATGTTCATGCTTGTAATAATTCTTCGACATTTTTAAAATAGTGCTGACAAAAACACTGGCTGACGTTATCTTTAGAAAATTTGTCTGTATACCCCTCCTTTTCAATCGTTATAGAACTGAGTTGTGAAAGTAAATGTTTTCCAAGCTCTTTCAATTGATCAACGATATAAGGCTTAATAATCACTTCACTTGTCGAAAATGATGTTGTTGAGTAATTTGGAGCCAGGGTTTTGTCGATTGCGTTACGATAGAAATTTATGTATTCCGTGAGTTTATACTATCTTGCAAATTTCTTTAAAAAAGATTTTCGTTTCTCTTTGAAAATATGCAACCATAGAATATTTAAAGATTTTTGTTCCGACTTTCGATACGAAAGTAACGGAATATTTGTGCTTGGGTGGGTTTATTTTCTTCAGACAAATTTCGACTTTTTAACTAGCCATTTTTGACCAATTTTTTAAATATCATTCGAAAGGTATTGTTGTTCTGAGCTTAAATTTGAAAAAATATTAAAGAATGCCATTTTGGCCAATTTAGGACAGTTAACGCGCGATGTATTTCGCGCTATTAACGCGTAACCGGAGATTTAATCCGTCTTAGAAATCGTTCCAAATTGTTTGGAAGAAGCTTATTTGCCATAATTGATTTGTTACAAGGAGGGGAATCTATATTTTTGTACATTATATTTTAGCTCACGCATTGTGAAACAAAAGGGCAAAAAGTTCTGAAGATTTAAAAAACGATAAATTCACAAAATATTAGAATCAAAAAACTTTGTCGTAGGATTTTGTATTCTGTTCTCACTTTCGAATCATGTACAAATGCAATTGTTTTTGCAGCTTTTCAATTATAATTTTCTTTGCTGAAAGTATGTTTCAACTTTTAAATCCTCATTTGTTTAAATGAAATGAAGATGATCCTAAAAAGCGGCCATTCTTATTGATAGGACGGTTTCTTTTAATTTTTTCCTGTTCAACAATAATTTTGTCAAAATGTGGATGTTTTTTGAAAAGATAAAGATAGCAACTGGTGAAGCAGATGGCTATGAGGCCATTGCTAACAGTATTTGATTTTTTCAGAACCTTTTGAAATTTCAGGTCAAATATAGTGCTTGGTTTTGGACATTTGCTTGCATTTGTTTCAATTTGACTCTTCGTCATCACATGAAATAATATGTATTATAAAAATAAATAAATGGTCATATTTTTGCCGAGATCAATCTGTTTGTTTTCTCCAACTTTTCTCTGTTTTTGTTCCGACATTCGAAGAAAACGGAATATTTATGCTCGGTGTGGTTTTTTTATTCAGTCAATTTTCGCTGATCGAAATAAAAATTTTAAACAAAAACTTTTTATACCCCATTGAAGATATCGACTTCCTGAGTTCAAATGTAAAAAGATAATTCACCTCCGATTATTTTTGTAAAAATCTGGCTGTTTAAAAATTGCCAAATTGGCCGTGTTTTGGACTACTTTATGCGCGCTTTGAAGAATTTATTCATATTGCTGAGAGCGTAACGCGAATTTTTGATGCGGGCGAATTATCCCGCACAACAAAATCGTTCCAAATTGAATTGAAGCTAGCCAATTTGTGGTCGTACTAATTTCGTACGACTCAAATTTTTACACGTTGATAGTGTCCAAAACGTATAGGTTTTCAATATTTTCTTTTCCCAAAAACTTTTCGATATAAATAAGGGACAGTCGGAACATTCAGGGCTTTGCCCTGATATACGAGCAGTCTTGCTGTTTTTTTTTATTTTCCTTTTTTTTTATAATATCGACTACACAGGGTAAATTCACTACGAATCAATTAGTTTTAGAAGCAGACAAAGAATTCATTCTTATTTGTCTTGGCCGCCAGGTGCATGCCGCTGAAAATATTCCATTAAAGTACTGCGATCAACAGTACAATTTCTCCCAAATCAAATTAGGGGGAAAAATACGGATTTTTCATGAACTAACTTTTGACAACTAACAGCTTATATTCATCCAAAATTACGCGTTTTACTTAAAAAAAAGCTGAATTGAAACATTAATCTAAGCAATTTTCAGCAATGCAAATTCAATTCCGCATACAAAAATATAGAAACTAATTTTATATGCGTGATTTTATAAAATGTATATTTTATGCAGAATCAATTTTCAGTCTTAATACATGCTTCGGGAGGGCATTCTAGGGGGGGGGGGGGGGGGGGGAAGGGGGGTTAATTATAGGGTTGATCCAAGCACTGTTTTTACTGTTTTCTTTAGTATAAATGTTCTTGAGTTTCTCCAAAACTCGGAGCATAAACCAAATACAAACCAAGAAAGTGTAGGAGCACGTACTTTTTGAAGAAGTGCACTGCGGACAAGGCCACTCCTGCGATAATGAGAAGGGCGAGAAATGCTGCAGATACAGCTACGATTATGATTATGACTTTGAGAAGCAAATCACCATCCAGTTTGTTTGAATCTTCATCAGGCGTGACCTCTAAAGCAATGAAAAAGACACAGTTTGAAAAAGACACATTGTTTTTTTTTTAAATTCTTCCAGTTTTTATAATAGAAAGGGACTGTTTTTGAGCCTACTTAGAAATATATTAATCTATGAAACTAGAAGTTGAGAGCAAATTTTCACTGATGGTCTTTTTTTTCTAAGCAAACGCATAGATTATAATTTACATTTGAAAGACTGTCGATGACTTGTTCAGAGTTAGATTTGACCGAAAACTTGCCCGGAATTGAACCTATCTGAGAAGGAAACTGAAAAGTAGGCATGTGTGATTTTTTATTTCCCTCAACAATTTGCTTACTTTTTAAATTACTTTTTGATTTTTCAAGAACATTTATGATAAATTACACGTTAAATGATTGAAATTTAATTTGAAGACTCATGGTTAAAACTACGACTAATTTTGTCGAAAATGGTGGAGCGGACAAAGTAACGCAATTTGAAACGCAATCTCATAGAACCAAATTCAAAACGATTAATTTTCAAACCTATTCTGAAAAAAAAAATACGCGAATGGCATGTTGCTGTGTTTTGTGCAAGCATCGCAAATTATTCCGATCCTCACAAATAATCTTAAAATATAAATTGTGTATTAGTTTATTTCGCAGTTTTTCAATTTTTCGTGATCAGGGAAAAGGTAGGCGTTTGTTTGGGTTCATCGACTAAAAGTAATAATCTAATTATGAATGATTCAGGGCGTACCTTGATTGGCGTTTAAGTACAACATCGAGAAGTAGCCAATTGTTGTCAAGAACACTGAAGAGAAGTTCATTGTTGTCGAAGTAAGGAGCCGCACTTTTCATCCAATATTACTTCTAAATTGATCTTAAAAGCAAAAGTTATAGCCGTTAAAATATGAAGATTTGTGAAAAGAAGACTTGCTTGCAGTTTCATATGAAAACAAAAAGTAATAGTTTTTTTCTGAGTGCTTTTATCTGCTTATATGAACTGACGATGAAACAAATTTAATGACTCAATATTTATGTTCAAAATTTGACTTACTGGTTATTTTTGAGCTTGCATAAGTTTATACGCAGAGCTTTTTTCTGTAACACTTAAACACACCCCAATCATAATCTTTTCGAATAAATGATGTCCAAAATTTTACTTCAACTAACTGTTCAGCGTTTGTCTCAATTTTGCCATAAAAAATGGACTTCCGAAACAGCCATAGCAATAAGGGATCATAGGCAGACAATCATCTCAGAAACTCGACCGCTTGACCACCCAAAAGATAGCCATTTGGTATACTACTATAATATATTTTAAGATGAGGCACTTAGCATAGCGGTAAGGCGCTTACACTGAAATCGTCAGATCGTGTCATCGATCCCATGCCATGGCAATGATAGTGTGCGAGGACGAGCTCTCACTTGACCTTTAGCTTCAGGTCTACCACAGCCTGACCAATTTCGGCTGCAATAGTGGTACCACGTGAAACTTCTAGACGCATAAACCGGCCTTGAGCCGCAAAAAAGGGCTTCGCTCAACAAAATAACACAGCCTGGAATAGGGAAACGCCAAAAAACACATCTTTTTTATTTTGTTTTAGTGCACAAAGTAGCCAAAACAATTGGTCAAAGTAGGTTTTTCATGATGATAAACAAGAGAGAGAGAGAGAGAGAGAGAGAGAGAGAGAGAGATGAAAAAGCCATTTAATCTACCTTTTTGACAAGTTTCATCTGAAAATTTGCTCCATCAAAATAATCAAAGTTGTGATTAACAAAAACTTTAATTCTGTTAAACAGAGATTTTTTTCAGATTAACAACATGTTTATCAGAATTGGTTGAATCGTAGTTTTAAAAGCTTGTTTAATAATATATATCTGTTCCCTTGCTTTTAGCACGCTAACACCTGAGACACCAATAGTGTGATTGAGTCTGAAAACTACTGGTTTTTCGTTCAAACGAAAACTACTCGGTTTCAAAAAAGTTAACGGCCTAATGTAAGTGTGCTGTTCTGTCAATTTCTTCCCACATCACGTTATGTAGGGCTGCGACCAATTTTTTTGTAATTGAAAATGTTCATTTTTTTCTGTAATGAAAATTTAATATTTATGATTTAAAATGGTTTTTGTCTAGAAGTCTCATATGGCCTCGAATGTTTCATCTTGATTTGGTTTCTGGCCCAGCGGCTATGTTTTTGTTTTGTATCGTATAAGAGAACTAACTTTTTGTTTTCAGAAGGGCTGGCTTAAAACACCAGAACTTAAGAAGTTTCAAAGTTTTATAGGGTAAAAATTTTATTTCGGCTCCACAAGAATAAAATAAATTTGTATCGGCTTCGTTGCTGCCCGATGAAAACATCTGAAGATTTTGTATCAATTGTAACTGCAAGGTTCTTTTGAACGTAAATTTCGAAACAAAGTTTTTAAAATTATTAATTACCATCTATTAGTAGCGTATATACAAATTATGCAGCTCGGCAAGTAGCATAGCTAGGAATCTTAGATTTTGGACAGCAATATAAGTGAGTAGAATTAATCAACATGCGCAGGGCCGGATCTAGGATGTTCTCATTTTCTCACAAAATTTTTCGTTCATGTGATAAAAGATCAATAATTTTCTCTGAACTTGTTGCAAACGTTTCTTGGCTAACTTTTTGCCAGTTACAGGAACATTTCCTTACTTTTCACAATCGCTTCTCTTTTTTGAAATGATTTGAAAAAGTTTTAATAAATTCATGCTCTTGTTGCAGATTCTTTTTAATTTTTAAAAAGCGTCAGCTCTTTTTACCAATTTGATATTTTTGCATTTTTTTTCTTCAAATCTCTACATAAAATTTCTGCATTCCAAATTATTAATTTTTGTAAGCTGCACCCTGCTTTCAACAGTCTTTCAAAATGTCAATTGTTAACCAAAATTATTGCAACTCTTGTACCTCGAATTTTCTGCTTCAATTTTTCAAAAAGAAAATCTGCATGATTTCGTTATCAAAATTTGCTCTAACAACTGCAATAGAATAGTTAAAATCTGAAATGATCAATAATTTTGAACCAAAACAAAAATTGATTAAATGGTTTAAAATGGTTTAGTTTTTCAAATGGTTTAGTCTTGGAACAGATCAATTTTTCAAATTTTTGGAATGGATTAGTCATTTTTTTCCTCTAAAGTGTCTGTTTTCCTGTTTTTCCGTAAATATGATTCACTGCTTTTGTATGTTGACTGTTTTTCCGGAAGTATCAATTATTGAAATGATTGAAACGACCATTGCAAAACTCCAGATTGTTCTTTGAAATGATAATGACAAGTTTTTGGATTATTATTGATATAAAACAAGTCAATTCAAAACAAGATTTCAAATAACAATAAAATAAATCATAAAAATTACCTGATTAGTTCATAAAAAGAGTAAAGAGGGAAAATAAATAAGTCTTCAACCAAACAAAAAACTGAGAAATGAGAACAAATTGAACTTGCATGATAATCTTAGATCAAAATGTCATCTGATACTCTATATTGTATTGTTTAGGGCTGTTTTTTTTTTCGATTGAAAAAAAAAAAAGATCACAACAACTTTTCTTTCATCTGCTTAATGATTTTTCTTCTAATAAAAAGTGAAGCTTTTCATAATTTGAAATTAACCAAAATTTTAGTAGTTTTTGACATACAGAGGAACAAAATAATCGGACTTTTTTAGAAAACCTTTTTTCAACAGTTTATATTTTTCCTGGCAACCTATAGGTGACTATCAAGCATCAGTAAAACTGTTGCCAGAGCAATTCATTTGGTGCATTTTTTAGTAACCTTGTCCAGGTGACTCATCATCTTTTTAGAAGATTTTATATGGGATCAATTTTTTTTGGAACGCTTCAAATGTTTCTACGTTTAACTAACGTTGGTAACATGTTAATCAAATTCAAATGTTTTTTCTTGCACAACTTTGATTTTTGTTACTGTTTTTACTGAAACTAATTATTTCTCATCTAACAATGAAAAATATTTTTTCTTGATTTACAAGTTCACTGCTCAACCGCAACAAGATAAATATGCTTCGAGTATACACAATAGCCGTAGCAAAACAATGCAAATTAACACTTGTTATAACAAGTGTTACTTTGCGTTTTGTTGCTAAAACTAATCGAAAATATCAGGTTATGGGTCTAGATGTTACCACAGCCGTCTAAGCAAAGATAGGCCACGAGTTCGAGACTTATCGGGAGTTTTTGTAAATTGAAGTACCCCAGCTTTATTTAAACATTTCAAACAGAATTTCTGGTAAGACATTCAGTTTAAATTTTAAGTACTTCTCGCCAGAATCAACGAAATTGTTCGGTACGGGGTGCAGCCACTTCAAATTTTGCGTAATTTTTCGCTGAAACTCAAAAAAGAATTTATTTGTTTTCTGATTTTTTCTACTCAGGCCAGTTTTTTGTGTACATTTTTATTGGCTAATATCTGTATCTGTCAAAGGATGTGAATAAAACTAACACAAAATTGCTGGTTTTGAGTGACCCATAAGTCACAATTTTAATCCCGGTGACATTACAATTCAAAATTGTATTACACAGAAACAATTTGACATTTATTTATCCAAAAAAAAACGAAAAATAAATCATGACTCCGCAAAAGATAATATGTTAATTTATTTTCGATGCGAGCCTACAACATCGATTGTCTTAGATTCGATGGAATTATTTCAAAAAACTAGCAGCGGCTAAATTTAGAAAAAAACAAGCTGCAAAAACCAAGCTGCAGGAAAATTAAAAAATTTTTCGTTAGTTTGAGTTTTTGATTAATAGATTTTTTTGAGAAAAGTAGAAACTTTTTAAGAATCAGGAAATGAAGGGTTTCAAAGAAAAAGTCAAAGTAAAAAGTAAAATTTTCTAGAATTCTGAATATTTTGTTAAGCACCGGGCTATAGGAAACTGGTTTAATAGTTTAGGAAGCAGTACAGAACTGAAATACGCTGTTTAAATTAAAAAGACAAACACGTTTGATCAACGATTGCCTTTAACCAAAACATCTTTTTAGAATGATTTTTTTTGCTGTTAGCGAAAACAAAAAAGATAGAATTTTTTGCAAGTTTTAGGATTATAAAACAATAACAATACCCAAACAACAAAGCTACTCTTCAAATTTGGCAACACCAGTTTGTGCAAAAATTCATGAAATTTGTTTGATAATATTTTTTTTTCAGTTTGCTCGTTTTAATAATGAACGATTTTAATTGAGAGACTCGGACAATTCACCAAAAATAAATAAATAGCATTAAATTTTCAGCATCATGAATTAATTGTTTGCAGCTTGCTTAAATTAGCTCTATGAAATGTCAAATTCGCTGTATATGTTTTTTATATATGTATGGTAATTGTGTGACTAGCATTTTTTCATACACCAAATTTTTTTTATAAAACTCAATCTTTTTTACTATATGTTCGCATTCGAACACAAGCGACAAAAAAAACCATGGTCAGCAAAAGTTTGATTGACTGCATTCACAATGCATTGGAAACGGCCTGAATTGTCTAAGAGTTGCTTTACATAAATGATATATGAAAAAATCAAACTTTTATATTTTGCCAAAAGATTCCGAAGATGATCATTTCAAAGTTTGAGTTTTTTATTACTAAGACATTGATCAAAGCGTAAACAAACACGCCATACAAATGACTTAGGAATTTTGAGCATTTTTGAAACAAAAATTATCCTGAAAAATGGGGAAAAAATCCAGGACTATGTTATTTTCAGAAAATTAGCTTATCGTACAAATTCTAAGTCTTCATAGTTATAAAAATTGTTCCCGAAAAAATGTTATAAGATGAAAACTTTTTCTTGCAAGTTTAAACGATAGTTTTCCTCATTCACGTGTAAAATGCTCTCCGTTGTTGCATTGTACAACAAAGATATTGCTATTTTTTACTTATTTAAGAATTATTGTAAGAAACATGATTCCACCTAGACTTGTAACTGCACGCTGAGGCTAATTTGGAGTGCAACTCC